GAACCGGGACTCATCAGGGCCGCCTCGAAAGAAGGAGGAGTTATAGGAAGAAGAAGTCCTTCTTTCGAGGCGGCCCTGGACTCATCACTGAAGAGAACGGTTGCCCATTGATCTAGACTCCAATCTCTATGCTCTCTGCACCATGCTCAACAGATCGTGGAAGTGAGGGGAGACGCAAACAGCAGATCTTCTTGTAAACAACCCTCTTTCATGAAGTCGTTGGGAAACAATCACCCTTTATACACGGTTTCCCTTGACTGTATCCTTAGACGGTTTCCTTTGACAAGTTACGAGAGGACTGCGAAACTGTAGCCCCTATGTTACGCCTCGCTATAATGGACAAATGGCGATTTTTTCTGGGCGTTGTGGCTCTTGAACTGCCTTGCTAAGGCTTTCTCACGATGGATCTAGTATCCTGGAACTGTTTCCATAAGTTACTCCCGACGCTGAGCGTTAAATTAAGAAAATAAAATATCTACAAACTTGGACCTGAGATAGGCCTGCTTTTAGTCGCCCCACAATTTACCACCTAATTCCATCATCTAAACGTGGGTGGTTACTCATTTTGACTGCTACAATTTGTACTTAACTTATTGCAGCAAAATAACACCAATAAATTCACGGAGGTGTGCTAGCGAACGAAATGTGTCTTATCTTACGCGCATTTATAAAACCTGTTTCACTACTGACTCCGCCTACACACACACCTGCGCTTAAGTATTTTAGGTGCAAGATTTGCATTTTTGTCTAGAAGCAGTGGTTTTACATTCAGTTCAGTTCTCTTCATGAAATTCCTTAAAATATGCAAGTTCTGTTAATTTATTCCATCAGTGTAGAAACAAGAGCTTTAGTTATTGTCTGTTTAATTTCTATCATATCAGCGCATTCATTTCTTAAACAATTAATATGCGAAGAAGAGTTCAATATGCATCGTATCTGAATCTTCCTTTTAATTTTATCTTCAATTAAAATATAAAGAGTCCAAAACAAAACAGAAGTTCATTTTTTATTTATTATATAAAGATTGAGAAGAAAAAGCAGGCTGCTTTTTATTTATTAGATTATTCTAAGACGCCGATGATTTGGCCTGTCTAAAGAATATGCCACTTGCGTTTTCTTCAAATTGCAAACCTTTTACGACGCCATTTTGTCCACATTATTTTCACGATGAAGCATTGAATGACGGCGCTTAGAATACTTTAAGCTATTATTCTTGCTATTTTAGATTAGCAAAAACTTACAGTATGATTTCTATTAAGACACTTAGTACAAAGTTTTTTTCTTCTACTGTTTCACACCTTTGTTACACCTAATTTTTGAAAATTTCAAAATTACACAATATACAACAGCATTTCGATTTCGGTTTATCGTTACTGTTCATCATCAAAGATTTTGTTTTATTAAATAGGGGTAACAACTTATTTATATTTTTCGGAAAAAGGTGACGTTTTACGTTTTCAAGAATTGAACTTCTATTTTCCAAGAATGTAATTAATGTTTCGTATTCAAGAACTTGTGTTGACTTGAGTGTATACTCATATTGTTTTCTTGTCTTTTTATTGAGCTTCAGAAGCACGATATTTACTAATAAAACATCCGATAGTCAATTTTGATCGTATGTCAGAACTTTGAAAGCTCTTACGTTTTTCATTAAACAGTCAACCAAGTTTAGCAATTCTTTCGATGATCCTATATGAGTTTTGTCATATTTAATAATGGAAAGATTATAAGTATCGACTAGCCAACGATTTCCAAAACGTTCAGTCAGTACTGTAAATAAAGATTCAAATGAATCATCAGAAGTTTCGATTTGTTTCGCATCCCCAATTAACGATGCACGTACATGAAACAATTTTTGTGTTTCATTTAAATGTTGATTATTTGAAATAAGATATCCAAATTAAATTTTAAAATTAGACCACTCTTCATATTTTTCTGTAAAAATATGAAGTGGTATTTCGGGTAACTAAACTTTTACTTTTAAATCAGTTTTTGTTTCTAAACATTCTGAAGAAAAAATATTAGCGCAGTTTACATTCTTAATTGAATCAATAAATAGTCTGAATTTTACCTTCAAATTTTCCAGTCTTGTTTCAATATCTTCCAAGTCTTTTTCGACATCTGGAATGTCATTAAAGTTCGGTAAATCACAGTGTTGTTTACGAATATGATCAAAGCGATTTTGAAGAGTTTCAACTTTTTTTCTTAATTTCACTTCTATTTATTTACTGATATATCAGATGGATCTGTTTCAGAATGTTTTCGCACAAAAGTATCAAATTTTGCCATCGAGACTTTGATAGCTCCCCAACAAGCACACGACTTTAGGGCTAGTGAAGGGACAATGTCGGCTCACCTANTTAGTTTATTTTTAGGTTTTCTTGGTATATTTCGTAATCGAATGACCACTTATGTATAGGGAAATGAAGATATAGAGAAGATAAAAGTTATTCATAAATTATTAGAAATGACGGACCATGTGTCTTTTCAATTATTTATTTAAAGACACAAACAACATGAAATAAGAAAAGATAGACCTGGGGCGGGGTGGAATTCCCGTTTGAGAATCTTCAGCATTCTCTTCACAAAATTTAAACTTCTCTTCCAAATCTTTTATGATCGTAAGCGTGAACATTCATTCACATTATATATATATATATATATATATATATGTANGAGGATAGAGAGTAAGCATATTAAGCATATTTGCACGTTTTGCAATACGAAGAAAATTTTAAAAATAACTTTATATATTTCTAGATAAAAAACAATTATATTTGTGATAAAAATAATGTTTCAATTAATAATTAAAAAAAGCCATCATCTACTGCAACCAAGAGAAGAAATAAAGTCTGAAAAAAATTCAAAATAACGCCTCTTTTTCGTTTGAACTGTTAAGATCTTAGTCTCTGATTTTCACCAGTGAGCCTAATGTTTTAAATGTTTGACTTAATGAAATTTAGCAAAAATAACTTTGCTTAAACATAAAAATAATGTTAAAATTTATATTTTTCTTATTTTTTTAGATCTTCCTGTTTAATAATTTTTTATTTTTCATTTATACTTTGATTCATAGATGGTAGTATGGAATTTTAATAAATATGAAAGTGAATAGAAAACAAATAAAATATTTATACCGATAATTTTTAAGATATGCAGACATAAACTTACGCCATAATATATACTATCTGACATGCAGTATGAAGGATAAGAATCACAAAAGTCTGTTCGATTTTCATAAAAGTTACAATCACTTTTTCTACTTTCACAAAATGCCTTTCGCTGAATTCTGAAAAAAAAATATTTATTATGGAATTCTATAAATGAAGGATTAAGAAAAATATCTAAAAGATTGATCAGCTGTGCGTTGAATTGAAATTTACTACTTTAGTTAATGATTCTTAAAGCTATGATTAAAAGCTGTGGATACTATGCTTGAAGCTATGCTAAAGCCATCATTGCAGCTATGAATCTCGCAAGCTCATGATTGAAAGTTTAATGGTATAGACCAATAATTTTTTTAAAATTTGGTTATTCCGAGCAACTGGGTGACTCACCGTTCTTTTTAAAGATTGAAATAAAAAAGAGTAAATACTGATTCATATGGCATCAAGCAAAATCTCACAGTCATAAATAAAACTGAAAGACCGACGCAGTTAAATTAGTTTAGTCAATTTCATACTCCTATTGATATTAAAAAGAAAGATTATATATATTTTTAAAAACGTTACTTACATTTTACAAAAAATATTTACATTTATAGTATGTTGTTAAATAATATAGGCTATATAAACACACCTTAAAAACACTAGTACTAAAGTTTCAATCAAGAACCTAGAATATAAAATCAGATCATGAATTCGATCTAATAATCATGAGTTCGATCTAATTACTTAAGTATTCAATAGTGCTTGGTGCACGTTAAATCTGTCGAGTCACAAAGTCCTCATTGTTCCCATAACAAATCAATACCCTTCGAGGTACAGAATTGGAGATTGATCATTCTCTCGTTAGGATACAAATTAAGATCTGTGGATGAATGAATGCATGTTTGATCGGGTTTACCCTGTAAAACGTGCCCTGTCGTGTGTGTTGCTGAATTCGTATTCTTGAATATAGATGGCGCCACAGATAAACAAGAATCGCACTTCCTACTTTAAATTCGCTTGGTTTCACCTACCAGCCTAGTTGATATTTTCATGTGACATTAGAAACAACAACAATCAAAATTACGTTTATGCATCTTTATTTAATTAATGAATATACTTATTTACACGATTAAATTTCTAAAATAAAACAATTTTTATTAAATTGCTCTGTGCTATTTTAATTATTATAACAAAAGTATAGAATTAAAATTAAAAATTTTGTCATTTATCAATTAGAACAAGCATATTTTATTGCAATTTGTTTAGTCATGAGGTTTATTTTAATTTTGTTTTAAGAGTTATCTGAGTTTAAGGGAGAAAATATTGCTTCATTTTTGTTATTATGTGTTAGATTAAATAGTAGAAGTCTACGAGTCTGACTTAAAACTACAATTCGAAAAATTAAATTTACTTATGATAAACTATCGTGCACAAGAATAAAAGTTACTATAGTATAAATTAGTGTAAGGAAAAATATTACTCTAAATGCAAAAGCACCTTCAAAACTTTTAAATCAACAGCTCGATTGTTTTTTATTTAATATATTTAACATGAAAAGGTACACACGTAAAAATATATATTTTTTAAAAATGTTATAGCGAAAGGGAAGCGATTTCAGACTGTCCTAGATAATAATTTTTTACACATAGTAGTAGAAGGCTCCTCTCACCAAACCATACGCAGTTTTTTTTTTCATTCATTATCATTTTTTTTCTTAAACGTCTTTTTAGAAAATGATAATTTTGTTTATAAAATATATAAGCACCTTCACAAATTTTTAAATCAACAGCTCGATTGATTTTTATTTAATATATTTAACATGAAAAGGTACACACACACACANCAAAAGGCATGATTTCAACCTGGTTTTCTCGTTTCGGCGTACCACAACGCATTACATCCGATCAAGGACGCCAGTTTGAATGCCAACTCTTCTCATCGTTGAGCAGATATTTGGGATTTCAAACCTCTAGGACAACTGCTTACCATCCACTAGCGAACGGACTGATTGAGCGTCAACACAGAACTATAAAAGCCGCCCTGAGATGCCATTTGCAACAAAATAAATCTTGGGTTGACGCTTTACCTTTTGTTCCGGCACTAAAAGAAGATATCGGATATTCTTCAGCTGAGCTTCTTTACGGAAGTCCTTTCTGTTTACCTGGAGAATTTGTTACTAAAATCCCAAATGTCACGCACTCAGACTTCGTGCATAGACTACAAAGTATCATACGTAGCATGAAACCTTCTGCAACGACTACTCATTGCACTAAAGCCGTATTCGTTTCAAAACAACTTTCGAATTGCTCGCATGTATTCATCTACAATAATGCTGGCACTTCTTCATTGCAACCAGTTTATCTTGGTCCTTACGTTGTCAAGCTCCGAACATCGAAATACTTTGATATTGAAATCAATGGAAAAGTCAAAAGAATTTCAATTGATAGGCTAAAGCCATGCTTTACTATACAGGACAATACCGAGCATTCGCCTGATACTCACAAACCAAGGGTTGACACAGATTCACACCCTCAGTGCGAACCCCAGGAACAAATCTCGTCCTCTAACAACCACAAGCAAACCACACGTAGTGGAAGAACCGTCAGGTTCCCACCTCATTTAGAGGATTATGTTTCTTAATCGTTTCCACTGGGAAGGGAGTGTGTAGCGTGCTCTATGTTCCCTCTTTAATTTAATTTCCAATCTCTTGTATATATATATTTGTTTTGTGGTGAGTGGCATCATGTTTTTGTTGCTGTTCCAAAAAGTGTAAAATAAATTGTTTGTGTTATTTCCTTATTCCTGTCATCATTTATTTTACTTGCTAAAGATTGAAAAATATTGAAGGGAAAATTATTCAGCCTAAAACAGCTCCTTCA